ATATAGGGTGTGCATAGGGCATCACATGAAAATAGCCACATGTTCTCATATGCAATTTTATGTAGGAAGTGATCATCTTGAATACGGTCTGAAATGACAGCTTTACTGCGTTCTAATTGATCTAAAGAAAAAGAAAACAGAACTGCCACACTTAAAGTGATTAATTGATTTCTTCAAATCCTTGGATCCTTGTAGTTCTGCTCGTTCTTCCATTATTTTCTCTCTTTTCAAAATTTTGATGGCCCTCCCTGTTTATGTTTATATTCTTTAAACATTCTCTAAAGATGTAGTATTACATTGTCCCTCAGTGGTGTGATATGGTAGATTGTTTTAAGAGTAAATCGATTTCTATTAATTACTCATGCTATTGAGTTATTCATACAGTCATATTCTTCATAAAATGAAATAAATTTTTTTAAGAAGAGAAAGTAAATACCAACTCTATAATGTCGTCTCTGAAATTGCAAATTCTCTGTTTAAGAAATGGAAAAGAATTGGGATATGATGGTGGTGAATGACATGCCACTCATTAGTGGTACCTGTATGTCTCTCCTGTTTATGTCTCTTTTGATTTGTGAAGTCACAGCTTTGGTTTTTCAAATATTACCCTAACCATGCAACAGGGCACCTGTTAACTTGCATTTGATATTCTTTGTCAATTTTTTTTCATATTTGACTGATGCAGGTTTTCTCATATTCTATGTGCATGGATAATTCGTGGGATAGTCTTTCAGTGTCTGTTATATCACAGGTAAATATATATTAGATAATTTAAGCCCTTTGTTTATTTTAGTATTTTAATGAGTATCTACATTGCTTCTTGCGTTGAACTTCCATTAGCTAAGACGATGCACGTGAAGTCTTTCTTCATACCAATTAAGTGTGGCTGAATTTTCCATTGGGTTGTGAGTCATTTACTTTCAGAATGTTAAGATGTATTAAGTTACTCTTCCAGTTCCTTTGGTACCATCTGCCTGCAGGCTGCAACAGCCAACATGCCCTTTTACACTCCTACTGATATATTTTCAAGAACCATTTGCACTTTGCTAAACTTTAGGTCTTTCTATAAAGTTCATATGTGGATCTGCAGAACAATAAGTTGCTTTTTATTTACTTTTGGCTTCGTAGGAATTGTATTGTGTAATATAGTTGGCTCAATATTTCGATCTGTTAAGAAAACTGTGCACCAGAGATGTGGTTGTAATTTCAAAAGGGGATCCACATATTAACCAAAACAAAAAAACAAAAAAGGGATCCGTGTATATAGACCTTTTATAAGAGACTAGTTCTATGTGTGTAATGTGTAAGTCACAGATTCTGAATTGTAGTTTTGTTTTTTTCTTTAAATAGATTGTGAAGAACTGCCCTGAATCTTCTTATGATGTGGACAACTTTGCCTATTTGGCAATGGAACTTTGTTTGGCTTACCTTTATAAAGTGTTTCAAAGGTACTGGAATATACCAAACATTTGAACTTATTTTTGTCTTTTAATTTAACCTTCTGATATCACTACCCATTAGCTGAAGGTTCATACTTTTTGTGTTCTGTAGTAATACATCATCTCTGGACAAACCGTGGGAGGATTTGATTTCTGCATTATTTATCACCGCAAAAACACTTGTTAACTGTTTTCAACCAAAGGTGGGTAAGGTGTATCCACTGTTATATTTTCTGTGGCTTACATATTACTGTCATTGAGTTTCATTATGTGTTTATTTATATTGTATAGGCATGCTTTCTAATGTTATAATTTGCCTTGTTATTTTTTCATAATGACTGTTAATTGCTAATTTTCATGTTTTTCACTAATTGCGTGTTTTGAGATGCAGACACAACTAGTATCAGCGGCATTAGCGTTTCTTTTAATTGGTTACAAGGGAATCAGAGAAGCCTCTACTGAGTTTTGTTTCTCCAAGGTGGACGAGTTTTTCAAGTGCACAGGTCTATTATTGAAAAGATTTATTGATGGTGAGTATTCTGATAATAAAACTGATCTGACGAGTCTTTATTTATCTAATGTAAGTAAAAAAGAACATTGCTCCATTTCCTTTGTTGTCAAATTATTTTCCCACGTAATTTTTCACATAAACATCCATTTGAGGCTCCTTTCCTGCCTTTCCTCTATATTCACGTTAAAGATTATGCCAAATTGTTGGTAAAACATTGGCTTCTTGATTAATAAAGTATATTCTGGCTAATCAAAATTCAAATTGCAGATAAATCTGGTGTTGGTGAAGATGGTATTCTTCATATGCGTAAAGTACTGCGAACTTGTTTGAATGTGATCACTGACTTGACCAAGGATTGCATTAAGTGCATTCATCTGCAGGAGAATAAGAGCTCTGACTTGCACATATTACAGCAAATGAAGCTTGCTTTCTCTCTTGAACAAATTATATCATTTGCAAAGCTGGGTTATGAAATGGATTATCTTGAAGAGAATACAGATGGTGATTTGGTCTATTATACTATGTTTAAATATGGCACCAAATGCGTCCAAACTGTACTCTCTGATTCAAATAGACAGGTACATCCATATGCATGCTGTATACCACTATGGTCACTTTTTCCAAGCATGAGACAACTGAAAAACAATTTTGTGCACAGGTTCAAACAATTGGGTTACAAGTGCTAAAAGGTTTGGTACAAAAATCCACAAATGTGGAGGACAGCACTTTTTCAATACTTTTTGTTGGGGAACTTGCTGCCGATTTTTTTGTGATAATCCAGAATACATTAAAGGTGTTTCTGAATATCCTCTCAGATATCTTTTGCATTGACAAATTATAACCTTGTTTCCTTTTCTGTCTTTGATTTTGTAATTCTGAAGGAGCTCTACTTTTCTATTCTTGACAGAAACCTGTAACTGAAAAATCAGCAACTGTTGCTGGTGAATGCTTAAGACTCCTAGTAGTGCTGCAAACACTTTCAACATCTAGTGAATGTCAGAGAGGTTTTATGAATTTACTCCTGGAAGCCGTAGTCGTGGGTTTCAAGGCTTCAGAAGAAGGTTCTTCGCAGGTGATATAATAAGCAGCCTCTGAAATTTACATTGCATCTCATCACTTCGACTGATAATTTTTTAAATTATGCATCATTGACAGGAAATCAATACATTAAGAAGCACTGCGGTAAGGCTTGTTTCTCATCTTGCTCAAGTTCCTTCCTCAGCAGTTCACTTCAAGGATGTGTTGCTGTCTATGCCTGTAGCACACCGGCAACAACTTCAGGTGTCTTTTCCTTTTTGTTTCTTTGTGTACAATTACATGCACGTTCTTTACAAAAAATCTGAAGTTATATTATTTGTAAAGATTAAAATGAACATATGATGATTGTTGGGTGCTCTTGCTATTGAAGATTGAAGACTGGTATTTTTTGACGTTGCCCTGGATCTAAAGTTACATTATTGGATAGGTCTTTTTCAAAAATTATATTTTTCAATGCGATCCCTTTTTCTCTTTTCAGGGGTTCATCCGTGCGTCTGTGACACAAGAGCATAATGCAACACAGATGAAGCCCACAACTCCATCATTAGAGATAAAATTACCAGTGCCAACGGAGGCAAGTAAAGAGAAACCTCGTCCAGCATCAGCCACCACAACACATTCAGTTTCTGATGATCAAAGAATTGAAGAGGAAGAAGAGGATGAAGATGATTGGGAAGCTTTCCAGTCTTTTCCTGCCACTACAAATGCAGCTGAAAGTGAATCAGAAGTAGAAAGCAAAATGGAAGAACCCGACCTGGGTGAGACAGTTTCTGTTTTGGAAGTGAATACAGGGAGTGATTATAATGGAGATTCTATTTCGGAACCTCTCCACAATGTAAAGGTGGTCAACGAGACAGGTCATCAAGAGGCTGGTGAAGGGGAGGTGATATCTGAAACCCCTGATGGTATGAAATTCCCACAGGGTGGTGTTATCGAGCCATGTGGTGATCAGCATCGGGAGAGAGATGAGGAAGTGGTGTGCAGACAAGAGGGTACTGTAGCAGGGCCGGACCAAATGACTGAACATATGCCATCTGAACCAAATCGTATTGAACATGCTGAACTATCAGTAGGAGTCAATATAGTGGACCATCAGGTGCAGGGAAAAGAGAAGCCTGATGATAAACCAGTGCAGGGAAAAGAGGAATTAAATTATAAAAGAGAAGAAGATAAAGAAGAGGCAGCCATTGGAAGTTATAGCCTTGAGCAGCATGAAGAGAGCAGTAAGGTTCAAGATTCGTTGGAAACCAATGACGATGGTGCTAAGCTAAAATTGTAGAAGTATTTGTTATAATAACAATACAGAGTTTGTGTGCACTTGTTTTGTTGTCGGTCAGAGCACGAAGAAATGTACATTTATTTGGTTATTTTCCTTCCTGTATTTTGATGCATTTGTGATCTAAAGGAGAATTAGTCAGTTTTAGGCTCGATAGCACCACTAGTTTGGAAATCACTCAGAAAACGTTTTTTTTAGCTGAAAATTCTTTTTGAAGATTTATTACATTCCAAGAACAATCATCACCCCTGGATTTTAGTTGCATAACAAGACAAACCAAAAAGAAAGAAATGAGAAATAATCCCCTTTAAACTCCATTCAATAGTTATAAACACTTAAAATCAATGATTTCGAGAAAAAAATTCCATGGACCCAATTGTTAGTCTTGCTTCTCACTAACATTAACTTCTGTAGGTTCCTTAATTTTACTAATTTTTCTAACAAAGGGTGTTTCTTGGTATTTTGAAAGTTTCACCAAACTTCCATTTTCCTCGACTGGCTATCGTCCACTCTACTCTTTCGACCCAAAAAATAAAAAAAGAAATTCTCCACTACACTCAAAACGGCCCAAACCGGAATTAGGAGTTGAATGGGTACTGAAGTTGAGGGGGCATAGTAAGTTTTTCTCCTGCCTTAGGGCTGGGCAACTTTGAATTTATGAATATATTTTTGAGATCATGTATCTCGTGTAAAACTTTGAATTCACTTATCATCATCATGATGTTGCAAATATAGGTTTTTGACCTTTCAAATTTATACAATAAAGGCCTAAACCAAGGTAGAGTTATACTAGATCAGATATTGAGTTACTATACATGAATATTTTACAATTCTAAAGGCAAATAAAGCAAATCAAATCAGCAATGATGTGCTTTTAGGAGACTTGAGCACCAAGGGTGAGCACACATCTAACATGGACGAAGCACATAAATGTACAACTGCAACAATCCATGAATGTCATGGCTCTGAAGAAGGCTTTGATAAGTATTGGAGCCACTCTTCAGGAGTTCCCTTTCTCATTTTCAGCATTTTAATTGCGGCACTGGTCAGCGGTATGGCAAGTATGTCATAGTCTTTTGGAGCCTGCGAGATCAGTTGGATGCAGTCTTGTAATCAAGTTTGTAGCCAGACTCACTTGTGTCATTTACATTTAAGAAAAGATATTATACCAAACAAGCAAAACATCAAAATACCTTGGGGACTTTAGTGAGCTTCATATTTGCTTCCTCTAATGTCTTCTGCCCTTTCTTCGAGTTGCATCTTGCACATGCAGTGACCTGTTATGCATCAACAGGAGAACCACATCAGTAAAGATCAATAAGCTAGTGTTCAGAAGTGGTTGGTTAGGACCAAAGCTACCAGAAACCACTTCACTTATGGGCCTGTTTGGTAACCTTTTACATTTTGGTTTTTACTTGGCTGGCCAGCCAGCAGTAGTTGGGATTCTCCCGTCCCCTGGTCAAAGATTTGGTTGGATGCAGGATCTTTTTGCCATTTCCTTGGGTGGTTGTGATGTGGTTTTCAGCACCCAGTGGCTGAGTACTTTGGGTCCCATTTTGTGGGATTTCCAGAACCCGCAAAATGCAGGATCAACTCCACGAGGAGCGGTACAGATGTAGATGATATCATCACGGCCTCTCTTTTTGTACCGCTAGGAATGCTTAACGTCACTTCGCCAACTCATGTTACCTGCGGTGTCAGATCCGCACCCCATTCGGGAGGATTGAACACAGTTTCTGTAACATCGACGCCTCCATCTCTAAAGAGAGACCAGCCAGCTTCATTCTTTTGGTTAAAGATAGAGAGAAGATATACCGAAGAACGGCCCAAATACACATTATCCAACACTCATTTTCTTCGACGTCATTTGCTCTATCACAATACGACTGAATGGTGAAAGAAGGATTCAGGAAGTAGGCCTCAGGTTGTTGGAATTCGGTCTTAAAAAGAGGAGTATGAAAAAAGAGAGCAGTATGTTAAAAATCCAGTCTCATAATTAATTTTAGTAGCATGTAAGCAGCGAGTTGGGACTTATTTTACATTTTCTTTGCAATAAATTCAAGGTTAGACTTTCTCCTTCCAAAGCAGGGTTTCCAGAGGAATCGGGTGGAGAATGAAAAAGAAAAGGGAAAAAACAGCAACAAAATGCTTCTGCAGTTCAGTGATCATGTGGCATCCATTATACAAGGTAGATGGAAAGGAGCATCCTCTCTCTTAGAAAGGTTTTGGATAAGCCCAACAGTAAATAATCAGTTGAAGGTCATGTACCCTCTTGGAAAAAAAAAAAAAAGGTCATGTACCCTGGCTCATTCCTGTTAAAAATATGCTCTCATTACTGAAAGTTGAACTGTACTTTATATGATGCAGTTCAAACTTGTGATCAAAATTAAAAAATGCAGAAGCTGAAATCCACTGCAAAACACAGTTTCTAGTTTTAATTAAACTATTTGAGATCTAATGCCAACATGTGTGTGTCTCTCTCTCTCTCACTCACCCGCACACATAAAGTGTGAGAGAATTAAGCACCACTACGGCGTCTGGGAATAATCATTGATGCAAGAAGAATTTAAATCTTTAATGAAACTGGTTGTCTTACCAGGTTTTCCCACTTCCATTCTCCACCACGTACAATTGGCAAAACATGGTCAATAGTCAAGTTTTCACGTGAAGAACAGTACCTGTTGAGAAGACATACAAAGTTAGTATTCAATATCTAAATGACCCTTCATAAAAAAAAATCAAAAAAAAATCTAAATAACCCTTGGTTGAAATAAACGTTTATTTAGTATTTCATGGCTAATAAATTTCTGTTGTTGACGATAGAAGAGAACAGATCACTCAATTCTAAGCTATGTACTTGCTGGTTTACAATAGTCAGGATCGAGAAAGGTTATCCAGATGTCCCGAGACAAAATCAGCAGTGTGGACAGAGAAGCCTAATGATGTGTATCATGAATTTCAATCTGTTAGATACTGATTATTAATTGTGAAGGATGTATGCTGTACATCATTAATCAGTTTACCTGTCTATATCTGTTCTAGAACTCTAAAACCAGTACCAGCAGCTGGTGATCTGTTGATAACGAATACTGTTGGTTGACGGCCTCAACCCCGAAACTCTTGGGTTACCCTGCATTGAACCTGATGCATCTAGCCTTATAAAACAAGGGTCTAATCCTCACCTTTACATCTCTGTTTTTCTATGGAGCCTTCTTCACTGAATTTTTTTGGGCAATTCCCCCTCTTTGCATTATCACAACTAAGGCATTTCACTTGCCTAACAGCCTGATTTCTTCTTCTCTTTCCACTGCTTATGCAATTTAAATACCTCTAGTTTCCTCATTAAGTAAACCTATCAATTTTTGAACTAATCATCAAGAAGCTGATAAACTAAACTAAACCGCCACAGGAAACAACGCATAAAAGGCCCAGCCACATTAGTATGGGCATAATCCAAAAAACCTTCATTGTGATGAGATGTTGCAATAACTTTTTTTGTTTGCTACCCACAGTATTTCTATAAGTCTAACTTCCAAAATTTCAAATCCTGCAACAAATTTCTCTTGTTATAACATCATTGAGATCTGAACGCAACGCAGACCACACAGCACTATATCTCACAATGCTTTTCCTTCCAAGGGTTCACTAGAGGCCTGTTGGGTCTATGGGGTACATAGAGATAATCTCTTTCATCCCATAACATCTCCCATTGCTGGTGAGGTGAGATTCAGTCCAAGGTCTTTGGTATGACTACACGAGACTGTAAGAGCTAGCCTAGCTGCAATGTTCACTTATTAGCCCCTGCGACGCATATACTTAATCCAACTCTCATCTTATAAGATGCAACTATGTAGTCAAATTAAGCACAAGAGATATGTGTACTTGATTCAGCAGCTTTAACTTGACTAAAAGGGTAATCTACTTACAGACAAGTGAAACTGTCCCGACATAGTATATTTTTACGACTAAGATTGTTCTTAATTCTTCTTCTCTTTACAATCTGCAGTAAATGCGGAACCTGGAACCAGAAGCAAATGTACTCAGTTCAAGTGAACTAGAACAAACAAGGGAAAACTACCAAGAAGAAAGAAGCCAATGAGAATGCTAGTAAAAACATTGGTAAAAGTCATGCAACTCTATACCCTTAGGACAGCAGGTATGTAGAAGGATCCATTTGGGGAATTTACAGTCTGATCATAGTATTCAAGTACATCCGCCTGGTACAACAGAAGATTTGAACCCAATTAAACCATGTATCTAAAGCAGGCATCATAAACCAATAGGAATCTAATCCTGAATATGGCAGGTCCATTTGGTTTTGAAGGAGTGTTATCTGTTTTATCCTATTTAACTGCAGAAAAACTTATCCTTTTTTAAAGTATCATCTGTTTTGGAAAAATATCTAACATGAATAAGTGAGCCACGGCAGTCCAACCTTCTCCATGTATTCCAAGCAAATAGCACGCTTCCAGCAGACAACATTAACTGGCCTGGCACCGTAGAACAACAATTAGAACTATGCGAAAACATATTTTCAAGCACTTATAAAATGGTAGAACAGAAAGGGGGAAGAAAACTCAAGAGCTATAGGATCAACAGTTTTGGCTTATGAATTGCCAACGACATAAATACAAAAAACTAAAACTAAGACAAACTAAGAAATTTTGTCATCATGGAATCTCCTGAAAATATGGTCCTCCATTACCATGACAACAGCATCATCAGAAAAGAGTAGGCCCTCGACACAGCCAACAAAACGATGCACAATATACAATGCAGATATACTTGCTACAGGACCAACTGATGGTTATTGTACAATAAGCATATCATGTAGATGAGCATAAAGGGAAATATTAAATAAATGAAAAAAGAAGCAAGCTAGAGTGTATTTCGTGCATGATTTGCAGAATTTATGAAATTCCTATTCAACATCCAAACGAGTCAACATGACAACAACGGATTATAAAGTTGTGCATCTATTTCTAGTTGAGGATTTTCAGTCCTCGACTTGAACCCTCTGGAGAGAATTATAGTAGTTAAATAGTAATTTAGTTCAAAACCTCGACTTTAACATTCCTATGAGCTTCCAGCATTTTTTGGTGTATTGCAAAACATAGATCGCCAAACTTTATGGGTATTCAAGAAAAAAACTGTTTAAATTGTCTGCCATAGTTTGTCGACTAAGAAATTGTCCACATTAGTTTAAGCAACTAATTACAAATTTACAAAACTTGAAAGAAAGAAACAAGAATGAAGCACGCATCCTATAAGGAGAAGTGAGGTGACCTGTAGGAGATATCCAAGACGAGGCCTCTGAAACAAGCCAACTCATCATCCCTCTCAAACTCAGCAGCATCGTCATGACCAGGACCAGCCTCATCGCCGCCAACAAACAAACGGGCCTCGGCATTCAAACGCTTTGCCTTGTTCATAGAAGAAGAAGAGTAAAGCCTAGTAGAATCCAGGTGTGGCCTGCCGAGCCTGCGGTTGTAAGTGTGGGGTTGGATTGATGTGAACATGCAATTGTTAAATGGGTCTCCTTTTTGTTCCAATGCCACTCCCTCGCCGTTAAAGAGCAACTTAACTCGCCCTTGTGCTGCAAACTGCGCCATCACTGAAGCTTATTGCTATTTCCTTCCACAGAGAGAGTAATGGGTCTCTCTCTCTCTCTCTCTCTGCAAATGTTTATTGGTTTCTTCTTCCTGAGATGAGACACTCAAATAATTATAGACAAATAAGTAAGTCTCATCTTCTGAAACTGGAAGCGAAAAGCAGAGGAAACGAAATGTAGGAATTTTCCATTTTCCATTTCCATGGGGGAGGAAGGAAATAAATACACTCCACGGAATAAACCGTTGCCACATGTTTTTTTGCACATTATTCTTAGTTCTTTTGTTTCGTTCCACTCCCTCTCGGAATATCTTCTGGCATATTTATAGTCAAGTTCACAAATTTTTAACTCCATTATTTGCTATCGGTAAAATCAACTTTCTTGGTAAAATAAGATCTCTAAATACTTCCCTATTGCCCTCTTGTAGCCTTTTCTCACTCTCTCTCTCTCTGGTTTCCTTTCTTCTTCCTCTTCTCATCTCTGCTTTCTCTAGTCTATCTGAAATTTCAGAACGGAGGCACGAACTCTGGGTCGCTCTCTCTGTCCTACCTGTGCAAGGTAACAAATCTCTTTCTCCAATTCCTCTCTCTCTTTCTCGCCCTCGCTCTCGCCCTCTAGCCCTTCACTTGCTGTGTTCGGGCTTAGTGTTAAGTTGCTCAGTTGGGTTTCTCAAATATGGCTTACGCCTTTTGATTTTTGATTTTTGATTTTTGTTATTATTATGGTAAATCGGTGTATTAATCTTTGTTTTCAGTTTTCATGAATTTGGTTTCTCTAAAGAGACCAAATTGATGAAATATTTTTCTACATCTGTAATGTAAGTTTAATTTATGTTAGTATTAGAGCTTTTTTTTTCATGTGCTTCAGCGACTGACGAAAGTGTAATTTATATTTGTTTTTGGGTAAAGAGTTTAGAGCTTCCTTTTTCTTTAGCTGAAAGCGGTCATGTTGGTAGTTATATCCTATATTAACACCACATAAACTAAAAGCCCATACAAAATGAGTATGCTCAATTTTGGTTGGCAGCTTCAGTATCATATTTCCTATAGTTGATAAGATGCTTGATAAACAAGGTCTGCATAGTATTATCCTTAGTCATATGATGAACCTTATAAATTGAGGAATTTTGTGTTGCTTTTGTTACAATTGCATCTTACGTTGGACCAAAGTTGTTGCTCACAAGCAGTCTTGCCTGCCTACTTCTATAAAGTGCTCTCTTTGCAAGGCCAGTTTGTTCATATGACATTCAATTTATCGAATTCTGCTCCATTTTGTTTATTATTCTGCGAAAAATTACTGATCATGCTAATGTCTGGGTATCACTTCTAAATTTAGCCATAGTGCTGATTTGTAGTGGCTTGGTGCAGACTGAAACATGGATATGATGGAAGTTCTTTTCAGAAGCATTACATCAACCAGAATTGTGGGTATGGGTTCTGTTGTTTCTGTTGTTTCTTTTCTTTTATTTCACTTGTATCTGTGTTGCAAACGTAATATTTATGTATGTTTCTATAATGAATAATGAGTTTGAATATGAAACTTAGGAATTGGTTTTTGACAATTTATTATGCAGTACCTTGATGAGAACAAACAGTTGATTCTGGCAATATTGGATAATCAAAACCTTGAAAAACTTGCTTAGTGTGCCCAGTAAGTCCTCTCTCTCTCAAACACACATGCTTTTGTCTGTATTGTGTCTAATCTTGATTATGAGTCATCTTATGTGGACACTGAAATCTGCCTTTATGAGTATTTTTATCTAGGATATAAAGAGTGGTGATATTTTTTTATTTTGTATTTTAGTGTTTTTCTGACTTCTCTGTCAAATTCTTTGATAAGCCTAAAAACAACACAATGAAGTAAGATTATGTCAAACTCTTGCCAAAAAAAAAAAAAAAAAAAGATAGAATACTGAATTAGTATGCATATATCAGCATAACAAGCAGATGACGTTCACTACTGGTCAACTATACCAAACACGACAACAGACAAGCTATGTGTATCACTTACGCAACAACGTAAATAGATATAATAACAATACCTAGCAGAAGATGGAAGAAATCAAGACAAATACAATCTTAGCAAAGCTCATGAAGCCATCTGAATGCAAATAATTATTCCTTAAAAAAAACTTTAAGAAGATAGAAACCTTCATTTCTTAAGAGAATAATAAATAAACAAAGAAACCAATGAAAGAAACAAATTGCAACAATAAACTGTGACTTTTTTTTTTTTTTAAGGAAATAAAGGAACTTGGTGGCACACTTTGAGGCCACTATGGAAGAGGTGAAGGCAGAGAGAAGGACTCTGGCTCAGAGTAATCATAAAATCTTAGTCAATTGCTCCAACACCAAGAATCATACCCAAACATCTTAGCTATACAATACAAGCTATGCCAACTACAGTTCTGTGGCAAATTTGGTGCTTCAACAGCTAAGAACTCCTTTCTAAAATTTCAGAGAGTAGAGAACATACTAACAAAGAAGTGAAGATGTTAGCGATTTCAAAATGGGAAAAAAAGAAGTGAAAAAAGGGTGATATGCGACCAATAGGAAGTATTTATGGGTCCTATTTTACCAAGAATTTCGAAAGGGTTCTCTTTTACCCAATTTCCCAAATATTATTAAGGCACCCAGGCTACTGGGCATGTTAGTTTGGTCGCCCCGCTCAAATTTGAGTTTTCTTTCCGATTTCTCCAATGTTGGGCTGCCACATGGCATACCAGCTCTCTCTCCCTCTCCCTCTCCGTCCCCGACTCTTCATGGAAAATACCCTCCTCCACCTCCTCTATCTTTTCCCCCAAACACCCGATGCTAACGAACACCATAGCTGCCGGAATCTTCTTTGAAAAATCCGGCCAAAATGAATGATATATTTTTGTTTCTATTATGCAGTTTATGATTGTTTCATACTGAATTCTAAGCTTGAAGGATTTGCTTCTAATATGCAGTTTATTATCCGTTTTATATAGATGGAAGAAGGATAACTTTTCAATGTCAAATTGCTTATTACTATTTGATAGGATTTTTTATTGTAGATATTTGAGTTTACAAACAAATTGTGGATTCAATTTTGTTAAGGATTGTTGTTTATTTTTTGCAAATTGCACTCATCTCATTTTTTTAAACATAACTGAATGAATGCATGGATTGGAGGGACGCAACCTTTTTGTTCTATCTAATTTCCATATGTATAATTTTGTTGTGCAGGAATTTGAATAATGGGTTCGAATGTAAAGCTCATGATTGAGGAGAAGAACAAGTTTCACGGAAAGGCGTTGTCTCTGTCATACACAAAGACCGCCATTACTGCAATCAAGGAGAAGTTCAGTTCAGAGCAGTTGGAAAGGTTTAAGGGTAGTTGTTTTGGTCATCTACTACTCATTGAGGACCTAAAGTGGACTCCACAAATTGTCCATGGGCTGTTGCTAAGAAAGGTTGATCCGAAAACAGTTAAAACCGCGAAAGGTATTACATTCCTGGTTGGTAATAAGTTGATACAATTCACGAAGCAACAGTTTTGCCTCATCACGGGGCTAAGGTTTGGAAACCTCCCATTGATTCAGAATCCCACTAATGAAAACTGCGCATTGAAGAATAAATACTTCCCGGAGAATAAAACTGTGAGCCTTTGGGAACTTGAAAAAGCATTCAAGGCTTGCACTGATAAGGAGGATTTATTGAAGCTTGGTTTTGTGTATTTTGCTGTATTTGTATTGTTGGGTACTGCTAAAAATGTCAACATGGACATGAGATATTTGAACTTGGTGGAAGATCTTGATGCGTTTGATAAGTATCCTTGGGGCGCTGTGTCATATGCAAAGACACATGAGTCACTTTCAAGGGCACTTTATGCGGATTACCATCGAGTTAAAGTACCCCAAGAAACTCAAAAGAAAGTAGAGACAACAACAAGTGGTACGATTAGAGAGTACCATATTAAAGGGTTTGCATTTGCCTTTCAGGTAAGCAAATATCCATCAGTGTTTAACTTAAATTTTGATTGTTGACATTGAGGTGCATAATTTATGGTTCAGTGTTAAAAACAGATATGGGCTTTTGAAGTGTTACCAGCTTTGACTCAACTGCATTATGTTGTGCACAAAGAAAATTCCCTCCACCCACGCATCTTACATTGGAGGAGCAATAAGTTGGCACGTTATAACGAGCTAATGTCTCATATATACGAAAACATTGAGGTTAGTAATGGTTATGTTATGTATATGATTATGGTAGTATGTGCATTTGATCGGTGCCAGTCCTTGAACCTAAGACCTGCTAACTCTTAGTTGTATCACAAAGCTAGCAAATCTAGGGAATTGACATGCTATGCATATGATTAATTTATAATTATATTAAAAAGTGTACTTTGTGTTTCAATTGCAGGTTGATGTGAAGTTCATCCGTCCCAATCAAATTGAGAAACAAAAAGCTTATTGGATTTGGGGTGACGATGAAGAGGATGAAGAAAATGTTGAAGTGTATGACGACACGAAGTCCCTTGGTCATGGTGGTGACGATCATGGTGAGAGTGTTGAGGATGGGCAAGAAAATACAGCCATTGGCATGGAAGAAGATACTCAGGAAGTTCAGGAAACATCTAACCTTCCATCGTCTTCGAATGTATATGACCATAACCTTTTTGCAATATATAGGCAATAATAAACTTAATTGTGGTGATATATTGTCAATCAATAGGCAATACAATAGCAATAAATTCACAATAGTCGTGTTATATATTACAAAAGTATATAACAGTTGCGTTATATCTTTTTGCAGGGCAATGGTAAACTCTCTTTGACCAACTTTTGTGATTTGAAAGAGGAGTTACAAAGTACAAAGGATGATTTGCAAAGAGTAGCTGCTTCAAATCGGGCGCTTAGGAAGAGAGTGTGTGACTTGGAAAGGAGGATAGAGAGTGAGTCCTTGAAAAATAAGAAGGCTATTGAGGGTTTCAACAAGATCGTTGCTTTGATGGAACATCATTTTATGTTGGTGATGGAGGAGTTGAAAATAGCTTATGGTGTGTTGAATCAACCTGTTGAAGGTCATGAAGAACCACATACTCTTCGGAACAAGGAAGGAATGAATGACGTGGCCCCCTCACATGAGCATATTACTCAGACTACAAAGATTGAAGGAGGTGATGCATCAAGGCAGGAGCCTAGAACCGTTGTTGCAAAGGTGGGTGTTGACATAACCGAACCAGTGCTTTCGACTATGAAGGGTACTAGTCCTAGCACAGAGATTAAAGGACCCGATGTTGCATCAAACCCTGCTAAGAATGCTTCCCCTGGTTATACCCCTGATGATGGAGCTAATGCCTCCGCAAGCATGAAAGTCCAAGGGGCTAAAATGGAAGCAAAAAATCCTGAGAAAGAAGTTGAGCAAGAAGCAGAGATTCTGCCTACACCTGAAGATTTCTGGGGGTGCAAAGTCCTTTGCAAAAAACTTTTAGAGTTACTAAAGGATTGGCAAAAGGAACCCGGAATGGTGTTGGGTACAAGTCCGATGAGGCCTCCGATCGGAAGCGATGCTACTGTAGCTGGTGATGAAGCGAATGTGGAAGGTAGTGTCACAATTGAAAAACTGGATGCGAAAGGTAAAGGGTGTAGGAAGAAGCGGCTAATAACTGTGTTGTTGAGTCCCTATATCGGTCCTATGAGGAAAAAGAGGAAGCTCACTGTTTCGGATGGCACTGGAACCCCCACTGCTTTTAATCCAACAAAACCCGTTCCCATTGAGGATGTCAAGGCTGTAATAGACTTCTGCACCACTTGGAAAAGCAATATAAGGTTAGGATTTAAAAATTTGTTTCTTGTTTTCTTTAATTTTTTGTCTTTTTGGTTTGCAAATTTTAATTTTGTTTCAAATAATTTGGACACCCATGCTATGCAATAATGTCATTGCATTTGACATGAAATGGTGTGAGAATAAATTGCAACACTTTGATGTCTATCTGTTTGGAATGTTATGATCATTCCTAAGCATAAGGCCAATTTTTTCCATTTGGATTTTGATCCTTGGCTGCAGATCAACAGCGTTCTGAAAAGAAGTGGTTTGGGGGAATGCCTTGGAGTTCTGTATTTGTTTTTACATGTTGGCACCTTTGGAAATGGTGGAATAGGCTTGTGTTTAGTGGAGCTGATGATCTAGCATTTAATCCTCGTTGGACTTTTTTGTGCTTCAGTTATGGAGTGGATTAAGGCTTCATCTGTGAGTCAGAGGGGACTGATGTGACTCAACTCCTTTTGGCTTGGGATCTTCCAGCTGGTGATGAGTTTAAATTAAATGTGGATGGTTCTAGAAAGACAATTTCATGTTGTATTGGCGCAGGGGAGTCATCAGGGATTCTAAAGGTGACTAAGTTTCTGGTTTTGCCGTCAATTTAGGGAAATGCCAAATTCTAGAGCAGAAGTCTGGGGGATTTTCTTTGGTTTGAAGTTGGCTCTTGAAAAAGGTCTTAGTGATCTAGCCATTGAAATGGACTCTTCTCTAGTTGTGAACCTGTGTCTGAAACCTTCTCTCCTTGGTTTGCACCCTATGGCCTCCTTGATTGATAGTTGCTGTGATCTTATGAAGCAACTTGGTAAATTTACCCTCAAGCATATATATGGAGAGAAGAATAGAGTTGCTAACGCAACTGCCAACTGGAGCTATAATTTGGATTTAGGATTGTGCACTTTTGACACAGCTCCTAGTTGGATTAGCTCTTGGTTAGTTGACGATGTTCTAGGTGCCCTTAGAATTAGATCGGTCTATTTAGACTGGTGTGATTAGTTTGTTTGTTTCTGGGTTGTTACACCCACCACCACCTCCAAAATAAAAATAAAAATGATAGTAGTTGCGCGCTTCATGTAACCTTTTGTAACATTTCCATGTATACAATAGAATCTTTTAGTCAATACCTCCTCCGTTTGAAGCCTTTGATTTATAAACCAGCAATTTTTGTTATTGTAGTGCGGAGGTGCGGCTCGAAGCAATGGCAGTTGGGCAAGAGTTTTTCTACAAACTCATAAATGATAGCCTTTGGATGACCTCATCGGTAACAGTTTCAATCTTGCTTTAATTTTAGAATTAAATCCACTTGTCTTCTTTATTATGTGTACATGCCTATTAAAATAAGCTGTTATTATCAACCTCAACTGGCAGCACCTTGACATGGGGATGTTTCTGATACGCAAAAGGCAATTTACTCATCCGTTGGCAGTTGGAACTGACTGGACGACTGCTGATTGTTGTCTGCAAGTAAGAATGTGTATATGTAGTTCAATTTAATGTATTTTCTGTTTTGGTAGAAGTATTGGGTTTTATTATGTTAGGTGCATTTGTGCCTTATTATGTTATGTGCCTTCAAATTGTTTGCAGACATTTTTAGAACCAGTAAAATTGCCTCCAAAAAAACGAGGATCGAAGAAACAAGATGTTAGGGTTACTGAGGACGCTCCACTTCAATGCCAGGCCAAAATCGAGCTATATGTGCGGGGACTTTGGAAACATGGGTATTCTATACCATGGACCAAAGTCCGCAAGGTGTATGTCCCCTTCAATTTTGGAGGGCGTCATTGGGTCGCACTTGAAATCGACTTCGTGAGGCGTACAGTCACTGTGTATGACTCTTACGTTGATTTTACTGCACAGAAGAAGGTGGTACAATTTCTTAAGCCTATTAGCCATGCACTTGCACGTATTCTTTATGATATGCGATTTTATGAGAGTTCGGAGCTTCAGGAGGTCAAGAAAATGGCGACTCAGAAGCCAAACTTTGAGGCATGGACAATTTGCAGGCATGGAGATGTTCCGCAACAAGCTGATGGGTAAGGTGTAGTAATTTAGTGGAGTTTATATTTATATTGTAATCAAGTGCATCTCTAATTTGTTTGCTTATTGGCTGGACAGTGCTTCATGCGGAGTTTTTGCAATCAAATTCATTGAGTATGCCAGTGCCGGGCTTCCATGTCATACAATTGACCCTTCGAAGGTTGCCTATTACCGATTGAAACTCGCAATAGAGGCTTTGAGGGAGGAGGCTTATCTATGAGGTTTGAGGCTTAGTGTTAGTACATATTATGACCATCTTTTATCCACCTTTCAAAAATGCATCCTATGTATCAGTTATGCGGCTTAGTGGTACAACATGTGTTGTATTATAATTGGCATTTTGATTTGTATGGTGGAGGGCTAATATTGCAAATGTTTTATACTCTTTTGTATTATATGACAAATGTGCTACCTAGAAACATTAGCTTATGTATGCTCTCATCAAAATGTACTTGTTTTGGATTATTTTCCTCTTAAGTGGATGAAAGGTGGAATCGATGTTTTATGAAAGGCTGTTATGTAGGTACAATTTTGTGAATGGTTTTGGTAACATGCGAAGTATATGTGATGATGTACTTCATTGGGGGGTGGTTTTTGTGTTGAATTTGGGAGTCAAATTTAAATTGACCAATGGTTTGGTTTGGTTTCGGTTCAGCATGTAATGTGTAGTTACATATAGAAACTAAATTTTACTATCAAATTGAATATAGAATTGGCTAAATTGGAAAACACGACACTGCTAACCTTTGAAGGAAGGAAAGTTACTCATACGATTAAGGCTAACCTTGGAACGAAGGAAAGTTACTCTCTTAGGGTTGAGGCAAACATTCAAACCGTACAACAATACATGTGCCAGAAACAGCAATAAAGAGACAATATAGAGGGGAGATTCTCCAACAAGTATTTTATGTTAAAGATTGGTTACATATTTCTAATCTTGACTATTGGATTGCATGTATGTTGCATATTAAATCTATCAACACATCTAATGAACGCAATTCAATGGCCGATATTAAAATATGTAACCAATTCTTAATTTAAATACTTATTGGAGAATCTCCCGATAGTACCATAGGTTGTTTACGAGCACAATTACATAACTCACATTAACCTTGACTGGTTCAACTTTAACCTATGTGTGTGAGTTAGCTTCTTTTTCTTTCTTTTCTTTTCTTTTCTTTTTTCTTTCTGAAGTATTTCTAGCATAAGTTTTTTAGCTTTAATGTGAAGTCAAATCAGGGACTTGAGCAAAACCCAAGAGGGAGTAATTAGATGGAACTGATTCTCTATTACTAAGCGTTTATTAGTAGTAATTCAATATTATTATAAGGTAACAGGAAGGCGACTGCAGGGACCCGAATACTGCTCTCCCTCTCTCTCTCTCTCTCTCTCTCTCCACTAATGCAAAGCTTTTATTAATTTAATTTCTTTTGTTTTTTTGTCACTCTTCTATTGATATCCACAAATTGCAAACTTAGTCCAGCAGAATGAGTTCCAACAAGTGAAGTTTCTATTCTACTATCAAAATTGCAAGTTCTTATTTATGAACTCCGGGATCACAATCTCATCAATCCTGGCTTATCTGCCACACTGACAACGAAGCTTTCACACTGTAAATCTTAACCCTTTCTTTCTGCACCCAACCAGAAAATAAGCAAAAAAAACTAAAAAATAAAATGTGTTGCAGCGTTAATTGCCAACGACAGCACCAGAGCTACGTTGAGAGATGTGTCTGCCAGCAACAGCTAACATGTGTAGTAAGTATGATCTAAGAATAAGATAAGAGGAACCAAATTCGCAATATAGTGCTAGAAAAACATCCAAAATTAAGATTTCATCGAGTAACAGATTTTTTTTTTTTGCTCTTGGGAGAGTGAGGGAGATGCACCATTGCTCGACCTTCCTGAACTCTGTAAGGACAGGGGATGTGTTCTCAAAGGCCTTATACGTGTCCTCTCTTACCTAAGAAAGACAATCAAATTAAACAAATCTCCATTTGCAAATGCAGGAGAAATAAACTAGAGGAAGTGGACAAGAAAAAGCAAATCACCTTTGCACCCGTAATAACAATTTTCCCTGACAAATATAAGAAGAACAATCTTCGGCTGCTTCATGCGATAGATCAGCCCTGGAAAACGTTCCGGTTCATACTGCACCAACATAACACAAAATAAAGCATGACAACAGAATTTTTCAGCCTGTTAGGTCTATCATTTAGTCAAAATTTTAAACTGCAAAAATCTGTTTGTTCCCTATGATTCATGTGGCCACATACATTGTCGTATCATAATGTTGTTTCAAAGTAAGGGTTGTGTCTAGGATTCATGTATTGGCTAAATATATAGTCGTCCTTGTGTTGGTTGAATGTATGCATGGATTCATTGTATATCTGGGAGGGAGTCATGAATTACATTTAGTAGTCAGGCTAGTAGAGCTTCTTAAGTAGGCTTGTAAAGCTTTATTTTGGGACATGAATGAATTTGCAGAATTCTCCAGCAAGCATTTGTTTATCTCTAGGATGTGTGATGCCCAGGACAGATAGTCAATAGACAAGAATTATGAAAGGGAAAACAAAAACAATACACACAAAATAAAAAGCTTAAAAATTACATCAAGTACTGACATGAAATACAAAATCTTGACTTACACTTGAAAAGGCCCCATGGAAGAGTATGCAAGACGCTCAAGTCTTATAGGGAATTTAACATCACAGGAGCCAACAATATTTTGAATCTTGAAATCCTGATACTCATAAAAGCATGTATTAACAAAACAATAAAAAATATAAAATATATAGTACTTGCTCTAAATGGTTTTACAAGAGAGAGAGAGAGAGAGAGAGAGATATATATATATATATATATATATATATATATATATATATATATATATATATATATATATATATATATATATATATATATATTAAAGAAATTTGTCAGTACGCCCTTTCAACCTTTTAGAGATTCACTAATCTAACTAAATGAAATGATAATTATGTGAAGGATAATCACCAATGACTATCCTGATTGTGACCAGTAACAAAGGACAAATTATTTTCCATCACAGACTCACAGTACTTGAGGTTGATACTAAATCTTTTTAAGTAAACAAGGGTAAAAGTCCATTGTCACTCTACTATGCCTAAAAACACATCAAAATATATGAAAAATCCCATATATATCGAACTTTTTTTTTTTTTATAATAGTAACAATCTGTGAGAAGCATGCAACATCTACCTTCCTTGCTGCCACTTCTGATTGCTGTTCACTTTTCGTTCCTGTGCATACCTGAGTACCAGAGATATTAAATATCTTAAATAGCGGCAAAAAAGGTATAATGGTCAAAATTTAAATTAGGCCAAAAGTCACTTTTGGTCCCTGTAGTTTGACACTTCAACCACTTTTGACCCTGTAGTTTCAATTTCGTCAATTTTGCCATTGTAGTTTAGTATTTGTAGCAATTCAAGGACATGTTAGTATTCTTGTCAATATCTTTAACGATGCAAGGGGCAATTTCGTCAACCAAAATCCCTTGAGCGTAAAAGCTTGTATGAAATTTTCCCTATTTCATATTAGGGCTCGAAATTCAACCACTAATCCCAATTCTTGAAAAACCCTAAACCCAAATAACCAATTTCAAGCCCTAATATGAAATTAGGGGAGTTTCAGACGAGCTTTTATGCTTAAGGATTTTGTGTTGATGAAATTGCCCCTTGCACCGTCAAAGAAATTGACAGGAATACTAACCTGTCCTTGAATTGCTACAAATACGAAACTACAAGATCAAAATTGACGGAATTGAAACTACAGGGTCAAAAGTGGTTGAAGTGCCAAACTACAGGGACTAAAAATGACTTTTAGCCTTTAAATTATAAACAAGGCAGGAGGGAAAAGGGAGGGGAGGCTAATCACGTTCAAGGGGTCATGAGAATGCAATGCAGTAATCAACCAGCGTTGCATGAGTAAATTTTTTAAAGCCAGTTTTAGCCGCAGAAGTGCAGGGTGCAAAAACAGGATCTTATGAAATTATTGACTAACCACCCATGACTTATGGTAGTTCCAATAAAAGAGACTGAAAACATAATTTCAAAACGTGACAACTAATTCAAAGCCAATTCTACTACGTACACGACATTTGAATTTATTTTTTTGTAGGAAAAAAAATTTATTGCTGTAAGACAATAAAATACAAGGTGGCCAAGATGGCCACATGGGGAGTCTAAAACCTAAACTTCTAATAAAAGGAAAAAACATAGAAACAAATATATCTTGCGATCTTGAGCATCAAAAGTTGTCAATTTCAGCTTCAAGGTACTGTAAATTTTCGACAAAACATGCAATCCAGATAACCAGAACCAATATCAAACATACGCTTCAATTTAGACTTAATTATCAAAATTAGCTGATGACAAAAACAGGAATTTATGGCGAAGAAAAAGGCAAAATACATTACTAATACTTAGCATGACAATTAACACAGTCGTGTATGTGGAGTTCCAAACACATGTCAACAAATACATAATCATGTCTGAACTGTACCCAAATAGACATGTCAACAGACAATAGCACAATCAATTGGATTATGATATGAAAAACATAACAAGAAGTAGGATAAACTGTTCTTTCAGATCTCATATGGTAGCAACGATTTCAAGAACACCAAAGGTGGGACTGAACAGGAGCCTGAGAGATTCAAAAGCATACCAGTTCCAAAAAATTTATAGAAACAAAATTAGGAACAGCTGAAATGAAATCATGCAGTTATCAGCAAGTTGAATAGCAGAAATTTCTGGAGAGCTCACCCTCTTCCCAGAGGCAAAAATCAACGCTGTAGTTTTTAGTTCCCTTATTCTAATAATGAAAGCGGCAAAATGCTGCAAGAACATTCAATTAAAAAGAAGTTAGTACTCAATTCTCCTAAATGTCTAAAGCACCAGAAAATAAGTCATTGTATGTTATTGACAGAATTTAAGTTTTTCTGTGACAGATCCATGTGTTTGTTCCACGGGGATGAGAGAGAGAGAGAGAGAGAGAGTTCGACAGAAATTAAACCAATTTTATAAGAGGCTCAGGAATCACTGAATGCTGGACTCAGCTAAGAAAGTCAGTCTTTACTTTGAGTATTAGCATCACATCTGAGTCAACTACTGCCTAAAGAACCCACTATAACATATTTCAGTAGAGTGAGCTACCAACACTCAGCTCAACTGTCAATACACTAAAGAAATTAATTATACACAAAGTCTTGTGTACCTTGGGGTTGTATTCTGCGTTCCGAGCTTGCAACGCAATTTGCCTGAGATCCAGCCTGCAACCAAGTAAACTGTAGATACGATATTCTCGCAGGGTCTTCCGCACCAATTGGTTTGTGAATGTTAGCCTCAATCATGATAGAACTTCAAATCCACCATCAGCCTCTGGCTGGTCTCCAAGTGTTTCTGTTCCAGGATGCTGCAGGTGGCAGGCCCTCTTTTGGTCCAAGCTTACTTCTTTTCTTTACCCCTTGTGACAAAAATAAATAAATCATATTCTAGCTTAAAAAGTTGAAGAACCTTGAAGAAAAGAACAGTATCCGACTTACTTTTCCAGGGCTTTAAAAATAAGACAATCATCTCCTGGAGTGAGCATCAACAATTGTCACCAAGTCCTTAAAAATTCAAATTCCAAAAAGCAGCACTGCTGGCAGAAATTGGTCACGGAAATTTGAACTGGTCCAAATATCCAAGCTAGTTCACATGACAGAAGCTTTGTTTTTGTTTGTCTGATAAAGTACGTTAAGAGTTAAAATGCTATAGTTCTAGATAGACCTATTAAAACATGTCACTAGCTAACAAAGTCACAAAAGATTTAACGAGCCATGGTCCCTAAAATTGCTGGTTATAGTTCATACCTTGGTCTTCTATTAGAGGAAACTTGAATCGACTCAATCATAGGACAATAAAGTGATTTGAAATCCTCGATGGAAACACGGATTCCGGTAAGCTTTTGACAATCTTACCAGTAATCTCTACAAGAACAAACACCATCTTTGAAATGATGAAAACGATAAGCATCCCGTACTATGATAGTTCGATCCGAAATCTTTGACATGTACTTGATCCAATTATGGCAATCATTACAAACACGAAGATTCTTAATTACACGTATAGGGATCGTATTAGATAAGCTGAGTAGGCCAAAAGAGATTGCCAATTTCTCACTGTGAATATACTCAGTCGGATCTTTCTGCTGCTGCTCTATTTCATTCCAAAGGTTGTAACGGTCTTCAACATAACCAATTTCAGCTGCCCGCTCATTCAAATCCCCTAAGAATTCATAAATCTTATCTGCACGCGGGTGCAGTTTGTCACCAACAAAGAATGCATGAACTGAGTTTTTTACCTCAATCCAGCTACGACCAGGCTCTTTCTTCACACCCCTTTCCTTCATTAATTGCCTCGTCTGATCCCTACAACCCCACATTCCTGCTACTGCATACATATTTGATAGGAGAACGTAAGTTGCTGAGTCTTCAGGTTCCAGTTCTAGAAGATGATGGGCAGCAAACTCTCCAATTTCTGTGTTCTTATGAGTTATACATGCACTTAAGAGCGTCCTCCAAATCATTGCATCTGGTTTCATTGGCATCTCCTTTATAAATTTTCTTGCAGAGCTCAAAGAACCAGCTCGCCCTAGAAGATCAACAACACAAGCATAATGTTCAGGCTTAGGCACTAACCCATGCTCTTTGCTCATGGATTCGAAGTAACCAAGCCCTTCATCTACCAAGCCTACATGGCTACAGGCTGAAAGTACTCCCACAAATGTGACGTGGCTTGGTGCTACACCAAGTTGTTTCATCTCCTCAAATAGATGTATTGATTCAACACCGCGCCCATGTTGAGAATAGCCAGTAATCATGGCATTCCAAGAAATCTCATTCTTTTCAGGCATTTCAGAAAACTCTTTATTGGCATCATTAATGCTACCACACTTCGAGTACAATGTGATTAAAGCATTGGAAACCTCAGTTTCGGAATTCTTCCCAGTTTTTATAATTGCAGCATGGATCTGCTCTCCTTGTTTTATATTTGCTAAATTAGCAGCAGCACTAATTGCAGAGCCAAATGTGAACAAATTAGCTTCTACTCCAGCTTTATTCATCCGATTAAATACCTGCAGTGCTTCCTCAAAGTACCCACTCTGTGCAAACCCAGATATCAATCCATTCCATGATATATTATCTTTAGCATCAATTGCCTCAAATGCATGGTATGCTTCCAATATTCTACCACATCTGGCATACAGGGTAACAAGTGCATTTCCGACTGACAGGTCATCTGAACAACCAGACACACACGACTGAGCATGAATTTGTCTTCCTTGATTGAGTGCTTGAATACCAGCACATGCACTTATTGCACTTGAAAATCCTATGTTGTCAGATCGAATTCCTCTCTTTTGCATTTCTTCAAAAAGTATAAGAGATTCCGAAAATAAATCATGCTGTGCATACCCTGCGATCATAGCAGTCCAAGACACAACATCATCCTCAGTGAGTCTACTGAGAATTTTCAGGGCAGTATCCAATTTCCCATGCTTAGCATACATATCAATAAGCACACTGCAGACATAAACATTTAAATGAAAACCAGTTTTTATAACTTGAGTATGTATTTGTTCTCCTAAATTGAGAGCTCCGACAGAGGTACAGGTTCTCAGAATACTAGGGTAGGTGTATTGATTAGGAATCATGCCCTCAATATGCATTTGCCTAAAAATATGAAATGATTCATTAAGATCATCTAGCTGACCATAAGCAACTAACATCACATTCCACAGGACAACATTTTCTGTCTCTGTAGTAAGGAAAAACTCATAGGCAGTTTGCACATCAGAGCATTTCACATAAAGATCAAGCAGAGAGCCTTCAAGGATGATATCTGATGACATTCCCGCTTTTATTGCAAGTGAGTGGAGTTGTGTTCCCTTATGCAGAGCACCAACATCTGCGCAGGCACTCAAAAGACTAGCAATTGTAACACAGTCTGGTTCCAAACAATCAATCTGCATTCTTTTGAACAATTCCAATGCTCTATCACTATACCCACGCTGAGCTAGCCCAGAGATCAGTGAGTTATAAGATACTGCATCCCTGTGGATCATTGTTTTGAAAATTTCTTCAGCAGATATGAAGTTCCCTGAGCGGGAATATAATGTCACAAGTGCATTGCATACATATGTTTCACAAGAAAATCCCCCCTTGAAAATAAGGCCATGCAGCTGTGCTCCCATCTCAAATAACTCTATTTTGGTGCAGGCACTTAGTACGCTCGAGAATACATAAGGAGTGGGTAAAATTCCTGATGTTTGCATATGAATGAATAAGAGAACTGCTTCTTTTTCCCGTCCATTCTGAGATAAACCAGAAATCATGGCCACCCAAGAAACACTATCCCTTAGATATAATTTATCAAAGACCTTTTTAGCATAATCCACATACCCTTTTTTGGCATACAAATCAATTAAGGGATTACATACGAGCAAATTAGTACCAAAACCATGACATATAATCCTTGTATGAATCTGTTCAATATATTGGAAACGGACATTACCCCCACCACATGCCCTTAAAACCCAGGCAAACGTGGTCTCATCAGGATGCACATTATCTGCTATCATTCGAGAAAAGAGATCCAATACGTGGCTGGTCAACTTCTTTGCAAGAAAACCATGAATTATGTTATTCCATGAAAATGAACTTCTGTGGGGCATGTCATCGAAAACCTTAACCGCACCATCTAAATCACCACTGGCAAGATAAGCATCAGTGAGGCCATCACATATTACCTGTTCGGCATCAAAACCCAGCTTCAGAATCGTAGAGTGAAGCTTCTTAGAATCTAACAAGGACCCAGAACTTGAGCACCCTTTTAAAAGCCAAATATAAGTCTGACAATTAGCACGAACGCAATGTGCTTCCACCGAATGCAGGAATTCAATCCCCTTTGGATTACTTTCATTTTGATGAACTAGACTACCATCGAAGATATGGGCTTTCGGTGCTGCGTTACTATATTCTGCCGAGCTCAACCTTGTGACATTCCCACAAAAGCACTGCAGAAAATTTCAAACATTAAAGAGAAAAACGAGAATACCCAGAAGACATTAAAAGATGGCGATTGGTTTGGTGCACAAGAGAATTACGAAAGAGAGAATGATTACCTTGTGAGGATTGATAAATGAGGCGGGTTTGGTTGTGAGAGTGAGTTGGTTTCTGAAATGACGCGGGAAGCGATGGGAAAACAGAGGCTCAGGGAATTGGTTTAGAGCGAGCATCAAGGACCTGAGACACCCAGACCCACTCATCTGTGAACTGTCATGGAACTGGTATATGAGAATGGGAATGGGAATGGGGATGGAATGCAAGGAAAATAGATGATAGAGTCAAGCACAATTCTATTGCATCACCTCACCATTTTCTGGTTGTATGATTCCCAAGAACCCATTAACTGCAAATGTGAAACCAAATTATATGCTTTCTCAGACTTTGCCATATCATACCATTTGGAGAGTGGTAAATGGAATATATTGGTAAAATCTAAGGAACAATGCTAATTTCCAAACCAAAACCAAACTGAGAGTCAATAGAATTCAATAAGATTAAGAGAGAGAGAGAGAGAGAGAGAGAGAGAGAGAGAGAGAGAGAGAAAGAGTGTGGCTTACCTGGAAATGGTGATAAGTAATGAACAGAAATCACAGTCCCAGTGTTGTTTGACTTCTGATGTAACTTTGTACATAAATGAAACTATCAGCACCACCAGGAAGTAGTAAGAAACTAAATACAGTAAACAAACAAGAAACATATGTTACAACCAACAGGGCAGCTACTTGCAGTTTCGCTGTAATTTCTTCCATCTTCCCTTCTTGTTTGTACGTTGTAGGGTTGTAGGGTTGTAGCCACTCCCGCTCTGATTACTTTACAACCACACACCTGCGGAGTTGCAGTTGCAGAAGATGATGGATGGAAGGAGGGAGGGATTGCGGGTATCGGCGGCGGTATGGCTTTGAGGTTTAAGATATTCACACCTTCATCTTTTTTCTTATCTTAAAATTTATTTTATTTTGCACTTTCATCATTTTGTCCAATCATTAACTTAAATACTTATCGGAGAATCTCTCTTAATAATAACTAGCCCCTTGGCAGGCCCGCTTATGCATGTGCAAATTGGTTTTTTTCATTTTATTATAGAATTAAAAAAGATAACGGGTAGTTGTATTCTATAAAAATATGACCTATTATTTTATTTTGTTTTATTTTTTATTTTTTAATATGAAAAAGTGTGAATTTATCATATTATCCCCATTTAATTAATAATTTCAATTCTTAATGTTTAGATTAATCAAAGGCATTTTCTGGTATTTTGAATGTTTTATCATGCTCTGTCTTTTGCTTTATATATATAGATAATAAGTGGGATTAGGGAGAAAGAATTAGAGGAGGTTTTATTTTACTTTGATTTTTGAACTGTTTAATAATCACTATTTTACCTTTATTATATTATTTAATGTAAATGCACATAAAAATTGGTAAAAAATATTCTATTAAATAATTGTAAAATGCAATTCAACGTCCGAGATTAAAAGTATGTAAAGAATCCTTAACATAAAATACTTATTGGAGAATCTCCCTTGTTGTTGTAGTTGTTATCATTGTTATTATTTTTAGGGTAAAATATGCTTTTGGTCACTTAATTTTACACAAAAATTGGTCACTAATAAAAAAATAGCTAAATTCATCACTGTGTTTCCCAAGATTTACAATTTACAAACATATGTTATCTTCCGTCAAGTGTAGTTTTTTTTTATAAAAAATTTAAGAAAGCACCTTTAGTCTTCCTCTTCTAACTCAACGAATTATGGTATATTGTCTATTAGGGTTTAACAAATTGGGGTGAATCTTGGGTTGAAATCGAAATTGTGAGGTATAAGGAAAATCAAAAGGCCAAACCAAATTTAAATGAAATCAATAACTTATCAATATATTTTGGTGCTCTACCTTGATTACATCTCCTTGCCATATGAAGTCAAAATACAGTTCTCACTCAATTGATTCATACTTCAAAATAGCATCCAATATGTGACATTATACCTCACAATTTCTATTTCAACTCAAAATTTCCCCTAATTTGTTAAACCCTTAGAGCACAATTTGTTGAGTTAAAGGAAGAAGATTGAATGTGCTACCTAACAAATAAAAAATAAAAAATACACTTAACGGGATACAACGAAATGTCTATAAATTATAAACTTGGGAAACACAATAACCAATTTGGCTAAATTTTTTTCTCAACGACCAAATTGAATTTTAACCCTTATTTTTATTATTAGTTAACAAGAAGGCAACTGCAGGGCCCTTAATACTGCTTTCTCACTCTCTACTAAAGCTAATGCAAAAGCTTGTATAAATTCCATTTTCGTTCTCTCTTTTTGGTGACTCAGTCCAGCGGAATGAGTTCAAATTGGCTGCATCGTGAAAGAAAAGGAGAGAACAAATTCAATAGGATATCATTTATGCAAGAAAGAAGTGAAGTTTCTATTCTACTATCAAAATTGCAAGTTCTTATTTATGAACTCCTCCGGGATCACAATCTCATCAATCCTGGCTTATCTGCCACACTGACAACAAAGCTTTCACACTGTGAACCTTAACCCTTTCTTTCTACACCCAACCAGAAAATAAGAAAAAAAATTGTTGCTGCTTGCATTGCCAATGACAGCACCGGAGCTACGTTGATAGACGTGTCTGCCAGCAACAGCTAACATGTGTAGTAAGTATGATCTAAGAAGAAGATAAGAGGAATCAATTAGCAATATAGTGCTAGAGAAACATCCAAAATTAAGATTTCATCAAGCAACAGATTTTTTCTTTTTGCTCTTGGGAGAGTGAGGGAGGCGCACCATTGCTGGACCTTCCTGAACTCTGTAAGGACAGGGTATATGTTCTCAAAGGCCTTATACGTGTCTTCTCTTACCTAAGACGTCAAATTAAACAAAACATTATCAAATCTCCATTTGCAAATGTAATAGAAATTAAACTGGACAAAGTGGACAAGAAAAAAAAGCAAAACACCTTTGCACCCGTAATAACAATTTTCCCTGACACAAATATAAGAAGAACAATCTTCGGCTGCTTCATGCGATATATCAGCCCTGGAAAAAGTTCCGGCTCATACTGCACCAACATAACAGAAAATAAAGGATCACAACAGAATTTTTAAACCTGTTAGGTCTATCCATTTCGTCAAATTTTAAAATGCAAGGATCAGTTTGATCCCAATGATTCATGTATTGGCCACATACACTTTCCTATCATAATGTTGTTTCAAAGTAAGGGTTGTGTCTAGAATTCATATATAGTAGTCCTTGTGTTGGTTGAATGTATGTATGGATTCATTGTATATCTGGGAGGGAGTCATGAAAAAATTTAGTTGTCAGGCCAGTAGAGCTTCATAAGTAGGCCTGTCAACCTTTATTTTGGGACATGAAAGAACTTGCAGAATTTGCCAGCAAGCATTTGTTTATCCCTAGGATGTGTGGTGCCTAAGTCTCCTACTGGGGTGATGATGGTAAAATTATCCATTTAGTCAAAATTTCTCCTCTCGTCCTTGAACTTCCCTGTTGTACTTTAACCTACCAACAATTTACAGCTATTGTAAATCACAAATCTCGACTGGAGAGGGGACACACACAAATCTCATCGAGTATAAGCACCTAGAATGCAAAATGTCCACATGCAAAGATAACAATCTCATAAACTTGATCATAAAATATAAACACCTAAAGTGCCAACCACAGACTAAGATGATCATCCCAAGAGTAGAACGACATGTACATCAGATCATGAAAAAAATTTAACATCAATAGACAAGAATTATGAAAGAGAAAACACAAACAATACACGCAAAAAGAAAAGCTTAAAAATCACATCAAGTACTGACATGAAATACAAAGCCTTGGACAGATAGTCTTCACTTACACTTGAAAAAGCACCATGGGAGTATGCAAGACCCTCAAGTCTTATAGGGAATTTAACATCACAGGAGCCAACAATATTTTGAATCTTGAAATCCTGATACTCATAAAAGCATGTATTAACAAATAATAAATAATAAAAAATATAAAGGACTTGCTCTCAATGATATTACACAAGAGAGAGAGAGGGGGAGAGTGATACCTTAAACGAAGCACTAAATCCAAGCTTTTGGATGATTCGGGCATACTGGGAACCAAAAATATCAAAACAGATGAAAGAAATTCGTCAGTATGCCCTTGCAACCTTTTAAAAGATTCACTAATCTAACTAAATAATTATGTAAAGGATAATCATCAATGACCACTCCCACTCCTGATTGTGACCACTAACAAAGGACAAATTATTTCAGTCACAAACTCACAGCACTTCAGGTTGATACTAATTTTTTTAAGTAAACAAGGATAAAATAAAAGTCCAATGTCACTCTACTCTTGCCTTAAAATGCCTAAAAATGCATCAAAATATATGAAAAATCCCATATATATAGAACTACGTTTTTTATAATAGTAACAATCTGTGAGAGCATGCAACATCTACCTTCCTTGCTGCAAGTTTTGATTGCTGTTCACTTTTCGCACCTGTGCATACCTGAAGTACCAGAGAGATTAAAAATCTTAAACAGAGGCAAAAAAGGTATAATGGTCAAATTTTAAATTATAAACAAGGCAGGAGGGGAAAGGGAGGGGGGCTTATCACGTTCAAGGGCTCATGAGAAATGCAGTAGTCAACTAGAATTGCACGAGTAAATTTTTGAAAGCCAGTTTTGGCAGCAGAAGTGGAGGGTGCAAAAACAGGATCTTATGAAATTATTGACCAACCACCCATGACTTATGGTAGTTCCAATAAAAGAGACTGAAAACATAATTTCAAAATGTAACAACTAATTCAATGCCAATTCTACTATGTACACATGCCATTTGAAATGAAACTCATAAAAGGATGCCTCCATCTCCAAATATATCTTGTCATCTTGAGCATAAAAAGTTGTCAATTTAAGCTTCAAGATATTGTAAATTTTCGACAAAACATGCAGTCCAGATGACCATAACCAATATCAAACACACACTTCAATTTAGACTTAATAATCAAAATTAGCTGAAGACAAAAACAGTAAATTATGGCGAAGAAAAAGGCAAAATACATTACTGATACTTAACATGACAATTGACACGGTTGTGTATGTGGGGTTCCAAACACATGTCAACAAATACATAATCATGTCTGAATTGTACCCCAATAGCCATGTCCTCGGATAATAGCATAATCAATTGGATTATGATATCAAACACATCAAGTACGATAAACTGTTCCTTCAGATCTCACATGGTAGCATAGATTTAAAGAACAAAGACATTTACCACCAATGGTGGGACTGAAGAGGAGCCTGAGAGATTCAAAAGTATACCAGTTCCAAAAATGTTATAGAAACAAATTAGGAACAGCTGAAAAGAAATCATGCAGTTGTCATCAATTGGAATAGCAGAAATTTGTGGAGGGCTCACCATCTTCCCAGAGGCAAATATCAATGCTGTAGTTTTTGGTTCCCTTATTCTCATAATAACAGCGGCAAAACGCTGCAAGAACATTCAATTAAAAATAAGTTATTATTCAATTCGGCTAAATGTCTAAAGCATCAGAAAATAAGTCATGGTCTGTTCCTGACACAATTTAAGTTATACCGAGATGGATCCGTGTGTTTGTTCCAGGGGGATGAGAGAGAGAGAGAGGGAGAGAGAGAGAGAGAGAGAGTTCAACAGAAATTCAACCAATTTTATAAGATGCTAAGGAATCACTGAATGCTCGACATTAAATAAATAGTGATAGGATTATTCGCACATCCGTTTAGTTTGATATTAATTATGTTTTTTTTTCCTTCATAAAAACTGGTCCCTTTTATTACAACAAATACTTATTGGCTGGGAGGACTTGGGAGGCATACGTATGAAAAGCAGCATGGAATTAGTACAAGTGTCAACTTTCACTCGTTTCCAATACTTTCTACCCACGTGAAAAGCAACGACATCAAAGTTTCAG